TAATAATTTTTTTATAGGCTGAGGTGCTATTTGACTTGATCACTCAAAACAGGCCATCCAGATCCAACAATCATTAATATTTTAAGCTGAAGAAAACATGTTCTTGAGTGGCAGTGATCAAACAATTACGATGTTAACAGAACACAATAACTTAATTTTTAGCAGATGTCATTAAATGGAAAAACATAGTGTCCAATAACATATCATGTCCTGTCCAACAGCATGCATGTTGTGTCCACCCCCTCCATCCCTCACTTTTTCATGTGTTTCCATAATTGTGAGCCATCGACTTCGACCCTCGGCAAAAAGCATACATCATATTAGGTTGATCTTCGTCCAAGTCGATCTTCTTATTACATCAGCCATTCTCTCACACATCGCCGGCAGCTGTCGTCCAACCCACCTGACGAGCGGTGCGCTTGCTCTCATGAGCGCAGATACGCGTGGTAGGGAAGCCATCACACGTATAAAAGACTCCAAATTTGGGTATTTACGCAGCGCGTATCCGCCTTCCTTGTACCTATAACGCTACGGTGCCACTCCGGGTCTCAACGACGTATATTGACCAAAGACAAGGTACGTGATAACTTGAGACGGCTTTAGGTAAGGAGTAATATCCAACAGTTCCTTAGGTAGCTTTTATGATCAAGAGTAAAAGTTGTTAGATTTTATTAAATCTTTAATTGAATTCAGAAAATTTTATTTTTAGAATCAAAGTTTTGGTACAGTTATATTTTTATTTAATACAAAAAAATCTGTCGTGTAATAATGTATAACCACTAGGTTTACGCACCGCTTTCTTCATGCAAAATGGGACCAAAAAGTGTTCCCATTATGACACAGCTACGACAATCTCAGCGCACTAAGGAACCCTTCTATAGTTGCGCGGAAAATCCGGTAGATGGTGCAGTCTGATGCAATCTTGCAAAGCTGTGTGCTACTTGCATCTAGTACCACGCAAAGCATGGGCGCTGATGTAATTATTTTCGAGGGACCTGTCCCTTATGTTGAGTTGCCCCGCCTCCAGTGTTGGCTTGACCTCCTGTCCAATACTTGTGGCTGAATTAAAATTTAAAAAAAACGTAGGGACATGTTGACCATCACGCGACTATTTTCTTTGAACATTGCTGGCTATGACTGAAGGTTCGATCAAGGCATTTCGATAGATGGGACTCTATCTAGAATGAGTTTTATCAAGGGGCCCCGAACAAAAAATTCAGATTTTGCAAAAAAACTTGATCGCCACATTTTATGAAATCGCTGAAGACACAAGCTACACACACTTGGCCAACTGGTCTACACCAAAGAGATAACCTTATGCGATGAAGCAAGGTCTGCCTCACGCGAACAGCGTGTAGTTCGGGTTCCCGTAGTCCGTCCTGTACGACTCATGGATTCGGAACATCCAGCACCCTTATTGGTAGTGCTTTGGTTCCTACGATCGGCAATAGATCACAAGTAAAATACACCAAAGACCAGTTCGTACTTTGGGTTATTCGGCTATTATTGATCAGCATTTCGAACAAAGTAGCAAGGTTTTTTTTGTTTCGTTACTTTCCATACGCTGTGCACACTGCCTTTAAGAAATGTACACCCGACTCAGATGTGGGGGCGGAGATGGTTTCAGTTACGGGTTCGGCTTCGCGAAGTCAGTTTTTCTCCAGTGGCGCGGGTTCGGCTTCAGCTTTGAGCCGCTCTTTACGGCTGGTTCGATGACGGGTTCGGCTGCGGGCCTTTGAAACGGCTGGAAGCGGTCTCTGCTTCGGGTTTTCAAGCGGTTGCTACGGCTTTGACTACGGCATCGAACATGACTTCTGAATCATGTTTCCGTCAATGGAGTCTTGTCTTTTTGGACAGTTGGCTTCGGCCTTTTCATGGTAATTTTCCCCTGTAGTTGCGACTTAACTTCATAAAAGCAAGTATGAACTGACAAGTCTTGCCTATCTTGCCTGAAAAAGCCTGAGTTTGACCTTGAATAGTGACCTTGCGAGGTCAGGACCTTTTTACGGACGCCAGTTAATGCGCTGGTGAATATTATGATGCTTGGAAAGTTAAAATCGGCCGGTAGATTTTTGGTGATATTGAGTTCCTCGTCAATTGAACCTAGGTTTGACCTTGAATTGAGAGGACCTTGAGAGGACAGGAATTTCTGGCGGACGCTAGTTCTTGCGCTTGGGAATATTCTGATGCTTGAAAGTGTAAATTGGTCAGCAATTTTTTGCTTATACGGAGATCCCCATCCTTTGAGCCTGACTTTGACCTTGAAGGGTGACCTGGAAAGGTCAAGATTTTTTTACGGACGCTAGCTCTTGCGCTTTAAAGATTCTGGTGTTATTCTGATTCTGGGCTTAACTAACTAGTTTTAAGCTAAGCCCGCCAAAGTTTCACTGTGTTCCGCTTAGTGGTGAGAAAAATATATAGTTCTGAACACCACTGAAGCCAAAAAAACGTCCATAAGCACCATCACAAAGTTACAGTTAGCCTAGCTTACAGTGCAGCCGATGAGGCAAAACGATCTGTTATCAACCTCTCCCCCACCCTTGCGGGGACAGGGATGTTAGAGGGTGAAGGGGGCGGGGTGATGTTTTGTCTCCGAGCACCTCTGACGCATGCCTCCGAACACCTCTGACTTAGTCGTGCGGGTGAACGCCTCATTATCAATGCGCCGGCGGCGTGGCTGCTCACGCCAGCCGCCTTATCTACGAGTCGCGATCTAATATTGCCAAATGTGTGCACAGGCCAGAGGTTTCCAATGTCTGCCAGGCCCCGAGTCGTAGGTGGATCGATCGTGCCCGCGCACACCGAGCGCCCAGGACATAAATATTGCAAACTGTAAGTGACAGGCTGCCCGGTCCCCGTGGGTTAGGCCTGCGTCGTGTATTAAAAGGTTCGCTGGTGTCGTCCACTGGAAAATAATGTCATGGTAAATAATGAATCCTGACACATTGATTAAGTGCTTCACTTTTTGGTTCCGTATTTTGAAGTTGGAAATCATGCAGTCATATACTCGACCGATGAAATCACTCGGCGAGATTCTGCCTGGCAATACCTGGAACAAGTATTGAGGAAATGTTAGTTATGAGAGTTTTTGAAATTGTGGTTCGCAGTGAAGTATCTTAGAAAGCTTTAGGTGAATTACGCTAAACAGCACGCCGTGCTTAAGGCTGTATTTATATTGTCCATCGATTCTCAGGGTTTGGAATTCCAGCACAAGAGACCGGTTGAATTGTCGGTTACAACCTAACTCCCTTCCTTCTTCATAGGCTGGTCAAGGAAGCACGCAGTTTTTAGGTTACGTATTGTTCGCGCTTCTGTGTGCAATGGGAAAGGGGGCATGAAAACACCCCAGGTTTAACTCACCCCAGATGATAACCATTTGTCATTTGTAACCAACTTACTTTCCGCGTCAACTCTAGACTGAAATGCAAGCATCCTAGACGTCCCCAGATCCTATTCCTGAAAAGATTCTTTCCACATGGAAAATGAGAGGCTAATGCCCACCAATCAGTGGTGGCTGGACCAAACACACCGCGCTTTTTATGTCAGCCTTATAAGAAAGAGATCACCTCATTTGGTACCAAATGAAATGCTCGAATACTTTTATAAGCGGTTGCGGAAACCATGGTCCGTCGTTAGGACTGTTCAAATAATTCCGGAGGCATATTTCTATCAGTATATACCTAATTGTCATGTGAAGTTTGCAGTGAACTATTGTCTGGTCTCATTGAGCCAAATATGCCACGGTAAATCAACCAGCTGGCACATGAAAGCGCAACAAAACGCCTACAGCGTAAAGTTCACCGGCTATTTTAAAAAGCCCGACGAAAAATGATGGTTCGTCCCTTGCGCATTCCATTTCTGTGCATTTTAGAAAACAGATGCCTGTGGAACATAGCGGGACCAAACTAGTCATCAGTCGAACAAACGTTAGAATGAGGAGATTTCTCGTAGATCCAAACAACGAACGGTGAGTACTTCCTATACACTACAGCGAGTCTCTCGATATGAGCCGAATGAGAGCATAGCCGTTAGAAGCAAGCGATTATCACCAGAAATGAGCGCAAGACTAGTGAAGGTCAGACCACTGGGTATAATTCGCGTGTGGTCCCTCTGTGTCATACTTCCTATGCACACGTCCATGGAAAACCTGTACACTCCATTTACTACTACGTTGGAATGCAAGACACGCCAAAGGCAAAAGCGCTGGGGAACAGCAAAGATCGGAGGTGCAGCACCGGCCGGCCGGTGTAGGTCAATGGTCCGGCCCCAAGTTCGGTCACGCTCCCGACCTCCCCTGGGCGGCGGATGGCGGCCGCGGCGTGTTTGCTTCAGGGACGTCCTTCCGGTCGCGCCGCGTCACGTGCGCTGCCGCCGAGGGCATCAATACGCCGGCGAGCACCTCCATCCGCCGCCGAGGGTCTCCAGCCGCCGCCGAGGGCCTCCAGCCGCCGGCGACGCCGTGGATGGCGAGTGTGACCGTCGACTCCGGCGCGCGGTGGTCACCGGCCGGTCGTTGCGCGACACCGGCGTTTGCGTCCCTGCCCGAGCAAGACACACTCGCCCGTCTGGCACCGTCGCTGATGGTGTAGGGCGCGGCAGCGGTGGAGGTTACGCGCCTGTTGTTGGTCTGTGCGGACGCTTCAGCGGGCGGTGGCCGTGCCGAGCTGAGGCCGGTCGCTGCGGCTGTCGCCTCTCGCCACAGGTCGGACGGGAGAACGGTCCTCACGGTGCTCCCCACGGTCGAGCGTTCCCATCGAGCCACAGTCTGAGTCACGCCGGCGGACCGCCACGCCCAACTCCCGCGCGATGACTCCCGGCCTCTTTAACGCAGGGCGACATCTATACGCGTTGAAAACCCCTGACGGACCGGAAGTTTCCGTTATCAGCCGAGCCTCAATCTGATACGAGAGCGAGGGGACGGGCCAGTGGTCTGCACGTGTTGTGCCTGCCGTGGTCGTCCTTGTTTCTCGCCTTTGTCCAGCCTTTGGGTCGGAATGTGCCGCGTTCATGGCTCTGCACCGGATAGTGGCGGTTCTCTGGGCCGTGCTGACACTCCTGGCGTACGGTAGGTGGGCGAACAATCGCACGTCAACACCAAGCTATTCTAAACCAATGTCAGGTCTACTGAGGAGGTCCTCACTGTAACCATCCAGGCCGATTGGACACCTGGCGCTAATTTTAATGAACTCTGGGGAGTTATGTGACAAGCGCGCGCTGGCCTGAGGCCATCGAACACGTAAAGCAGCCAATGCAACCTCTCTTCATGTCGAAATTCTTCGTGGAGGCGAGGACGAAGCTAACCTTGCAATTACAGAGTTTCAGTGCGTCCAAGACGAAAGGGTATCCTGAACGACCAAATGTTGTCATGGAAAGTACTCTCGCCGCGATCGCATGGTTCCTGTAAGACATCACCAAACGGTACTCTAGATGCTCCTCTAGGAATGCACCGTGTGCATAGGTGGATCCTGGGGGGGAGGCACGGAGCCATGGCCCCCCAAAAAACTCTGAGAGTATGTTTTGGCCCGCCACCCCAAAACATTCCCAGAACTTCATAAAAGTTTCGTGTACTTACCGTCTGTTTGATGGTGCGGTATCAAACATTTCTTTCCGTTCGGAAAACTTTATGATGAAAAGTTTGGCAGCGATTTGAACATAAAAAGCGCATGTTGACGCGGCTTAGTCATACTCGCGCAAACATCGTGCTTGATAAGTGCACTGGACCTCTGATCCCACACCAGCCAGCTGGCGACCAACGGTTGCCCTCCCCCTCCAAAAAAACAACTCCAGGCTAGATCCGCCCCTGATCGTGTGATAGTTCCGTCAAGCTTTTAGGATTGCATTTTGCAATATAGCGAATGGCCGATATGACTTTTAATAACTGTGTATGAATAAACTTTATGAAATATAGTTTAAACATGTGGTTATGATTGCGTGCTGCGATGCGGCCAACCACGGCGATAATTGACATGATTTGCGTGGGTGGATAGGATGGGAAATGGATGGGAAATAATGAAGAGGCATTGGTGGACGTATTTTATGTGTAGCATTTATGCATCTACATAAGCCCCTAATGTGCTTATATTTCTGGACATGATAATGTTACACGACTTTCGTGCTTCAATAACGGCTACCCGTCACCCATCAGAGCGCGTTATTTTTTTTAGCGCGTGCTCTTGACTGACAGCGGATGGCATTGTACGATTGTCCATAGATGGGAAAATCGGCGGCAGAAAGCTTGTGCACAATATGGAAAGTTTGGATGTGAGACAGTGTTATAAGTTAGTTTGTAATGAAGTCTGCAGAACGGGCCAGCCTCAGATAGCTCGTAATCTGGACACTACAAATATTAAATAGTCAAACAACATCAAACATGCGAGGATATAAATCTGCCCCTGTTGTCTTTACAGGCAGTAATTATTAACTTGTGGTTCCGCGTAGTCAGTGGAATATTTCATTTGTTACAAATTGCACAGACAACAGAACGTTTTCATCCTGATGCCTTTTTGCAAACATAATGTAACGCTTCTAGAAAAAAGGCCAAAACAGGTCAAGTCAAGCCTATAACGCACCTAGAAATGCCATACAGATGCCCTCAAGATGTCCCCGCCCTCTGAAGTTGATTCTAATCGAGTCCCAAGATCTGTTAAGGGCGTCACGAACAGTTTGGCGGATGGCAGAAAATAGAGACCTCCTAAGTTTGAAAACACTCCCACATCTCACCAGCAAGTATGACTTCTTATATTGTCGCTTCACTGAAGTGATCTCGTTCTCGAACGCCACATGTCAGATACGTGTGAGATAGGCGCTTTGTTTTCGCTTAAAGAAGCATTTACCACATCACTGCGCGCCGCAGTTATTATCTTAAAAAGTATCAGGATGTCAACGCTTATGAAATAATCGTTTTCAGTACACAGAGGTCTGGAAGCAATTTGAGGTCAAGTTAACTTTAAGTCAACCCGAAATTTTGTTTAGAACAGTCGGCGTGGTCTCAGTGCTATTAACCAAAGGACCCGAATATTACGTCACTAAAACCCATAATGTAAGCTTGAGGTCAAGGTTATCTCAGGTCAAGTCCGGGCCACTCATCCGTTTTCAGAGACCCGTCCTTGCTCACAGGTGCTGCTGATCCTGCCGCCAGCTGCGAGGGTCAGACCAGCTGCGGCGCCTGCCTGACGGCTCACTACAGATGCGCCTGGTGCCGCTCGCCGGTCAGTCACGTGACCCTGCGCCCGGCTCGCCGCCGGATGTCACATGTCACCCAGGCTCAACGCTTAACACGTGCCGGGTGGGGGTCAGTTTGATCCACGAAGGCTTTTACAGAATAGTTTCCGAACGGTGCACTGAAGTCGAGCCAAGTTTTGCATAGTTGAAGAAAATTGGAAATCGGATCTTTTGGTATAAAAATTAACTTTGTAAGGCCGCCAACCTTGGCAGATCAAAGTCAGGCCGTGACTGTGAGTGGAGGCAATTTCGACGGAACGGTTTAATCTGGCGCGTTAGCGGAGTGTCAAAAACCATACATTCGTGAGATGGTTTATTACACAATAAAACAACTAAATCAGGGAGTGAGTAAATTTCATCAACCTAGGGCCTGGTATGATGGTCAGGCCGAGGTCCATATTAGCCTGCTTTTTTACTCGGGAGTTTGCTGCATGACAAAGTTTCTTATGATAAGTTCGAAATCAGCAATGACAGGGACTGCATCAGGCCTCTTCCAAGGACTTCTTAAAGGTCAGAGTAGCGCATTGACTTAAAATGACTCGGTTCAACATTTTGTTTTTAAGAACATATCGTCAAGCGCAATTCCTGACGCTTACTAAAATGAAAAAATGAAAGCAGCCTCCTAGAATTTTCGGCACCATGGCCTTCTGAGGGTAAAGAGGTCACTGACCTTAAATAAACCCAGAGCCACTTTCCTTGGACAGGAATCTTGGTTCAAGGCAGTTGCATGAGAAGGTCTTGGGTCTTCATGAGAAGGGTCACGTTGGACAACAATCAGGGTGTTTGGCCTAATTTGATCTCACTTAATTCAAAGATCATGACCTTGTTTGATCTTACTTAACCAGAATGTCACGATTTGGTTTGACCTTTCTTAGTCCAAAGGCCACGACCTGGGCGCCTCAAGTCTTAACACAAATGAGCTCACATAGATGCCAGTACACCCTGTGAACTCGGTGTACCTAGCTCTGCTGTTTTTGAGATCTTAGGGGGTCAAATTGACCCCACCAGAGCAAGGGTCTTCAATCGGCCACCCGGGGCGCGTGTTAAGGCTCAGGCGTGGAGCTGGCCAGGGATGTCTCCGCTCGGTTTGCTTACAAAACACCTGGTACCTGGGTACCGTACCAGGGTACCGGTACCGTGATCCGGGTCACTCACTGCAGGCGCTGCCCACATCACGACTCCACCGGTCAGCCCCGCTCCCTTTGCATGCTTTCCCGCTGCCCGCTGTGTGGTGCCGTTCTACCGTCGGTGTCACGGGCGCGCCTGTGCCGCCGCGTCGCCGGATGACGGCGCGGACGTCGGCCTCGACAGGCGTTCGGCTACAGCCGGTGCAGCCAGCTGGCGGTGATGTCGCGCCTCTGCGCCGCCGACGACATCGTGTCACCCAGCTCGGAGGCCGAGATCGTCGACGACGGAGAGCCCTCGGACCAGTCCCCCTCCCAGCAGCCGGCGCAGCTGGCGCCGCGGCACCTGCGGGTACGGCTTCGCCCTCGTGAGTACACGGCTGTGCCCGCGGCATACCCCTCTGAGCGTTCGGCGCTCATGCGCGGATCCTGCAAATGAAGTGCAGGATGCCGGACTGGATCCCGCCCACAAAGGCTCTGTAGAATACAAGGTCCACCACTGGGTTTCAGGTCCATGCCTGCGTTTTGAACACCCTTCTGCGCCTTGTGAGGTACCTCGCTGCGTGCTTGTGACAATGTCCTGTAGGTCTCTCGTGACTAGCGAGAGTTACCGTGTGCAGCACAAGAAATAGGTCCTGTCTTGGCCGAGACAAGAACGGCTTGTGTAACACCCCACCGGCTTTGCGGATAGAGCGCATACAATGAAAAGTCACCGAACGAAGACGATATTAGAACATGAAGTAAGAACCCGGTCCAATTTCCGTCGCCTGAAAAGAATGCTTCCGCAAACGCGGAAACGAAGGCTTTCGAGCACCGAAAAGTAAACTTGGTAGCACAACTGCCGCCGGAAACGTTCCTCTATCTGCCCACTCCTTCTCCCGGCACTGCGGCAAACTGAAGCCCTCAAGCCATAGTGGCGTCCCACCTCCTTCATCGGTCATGTGAGGTGACGCCTATTCTAGCAGACATACATGCAGACCTACATATCTACACGTGACCCTTCGTCGGTAACGTAGCGCGGTGCCCCACCCCATTCCCCTCATCGGTCACGTGATGCGGCGGCCCCACCCCTTCATCGGTCACGTGACATGGTGCCGTCTTCGTCCTTGCGGAGACGGGTCTGAGCAGTGTGCCGACAATGCTTCTAACACAAATCGGCTGCCTACGCAACTTCCGCGACACAACTCCTACACGACAGTCCTTATTGTGCAAGTACTTTCATTACACAAACTTCTATGCGGCAAAACTTTTATCACAAAAAAATATGTGCTGAGTTTCTTCTATGCGACGAAACTTCTTACCAAAACTTCTACGCGACGCTCCTCCCAAAACAAGCACTCGTAACTTGTAAACCTCCAGGTGTCACAACTGCTAGAGCAAAGCCTTCTACACGGCATTATTTATGCGCGGCAAGCCATCTAACGCCAAACCGTATGCTCGACATTACCACTTATGCAAAACCATCAGTGCGCTGTCGTGCACGGATGGGATTCGGACGACAGTGCACGTGGGGATTCGGGGACGTGCAGTGCCCTGTACAAACTCGGGCAATCCCGGTGATGTTCATGATCCGGGACGGTACGCCAGCCGAGTGCTTCCAGAACGGGTGAGATGTGATCGCTGTGGCGGACAACACTCATTAGCTTGGCTGCAAAGTGTATCACCCTTCGCACCCTGTCTGGGTGGTGCTCGGCCACTGCAGTGGACAGGCAGTGGAGGATATGGGAGAAGACGTGAGTTTAGACAAGGGGCTTCAGAACTCCAGGAGTGAAGCGGTGTCGAATTTTGGTTAGGCATACAATAATCGCATTACAGTGCCGAACGAGAGAGGAGACGTGCGGTTCCAAGATGAGGTGGTGGTCGGGAAATACATCAAATACCTTCACTAAAGAGGACGAATGAATGCCTGTGCCAGAGATGGTGATGTAGAAGTTCCCGGGCCTTGCGATGCAGGATTTGGTACCGATCAGCATGAAGGCTGTCTTTTTGGGGCTCATTTTAAGGCTTTTTGACTGAAACCAGTTTTGTAGGCACTGAATGGACTCTTCGGCACGGGCTTTCAGGTTGGACAGGCCGACGGCATCGGGGCTAGCGGGGTCAAGGAGCTGGGTGTCATCAGCACAGGATGGTAGGCGGCCGCGGGATAGGAAGCTGGATAGACCGTTGATGAAGATTTCCGGAGCCATTCCGAGGACCGTCCGTACCATTCCAGCTCGCTAAGGAGGACGTCGTCACCAATGCCGTCAAAGGTGTTGCTAAGGCGAACCACGTCATAATCAACGCGACATGGCCGTTGCCAACAGCCCTTGCCATTCACCCGGCGGCGTCGAGCAGGGCGTCCTCCGCCGAGTGACGTGGACGGAAAGCATATTGCGATGACGTCAGTACAAGACTGTCGAGAAAGTAAAAAGTGAGCTGCGAGCAAACGGCCTCGGTAATTTTCAAGAGTGTAGAGGGGATAGAAATGGACCGAAAGCTGTTCAGGTCTGGTCGATCGCCCGACTTGAACACCGGTGTGACGCACGCGATCTTTCAGGCGTACGGAAAGGTGCGCAATGTGATGACAAGTTGGTCAGATGTAGGAGATCAGCGCCGATTACAGGGAAACACCTTTTCACTGCATAGAGTGGTACGTCACTGGCACCGACAGCCCTCGACGCGCTCATCTTCCCGATGGCTACAGAGAGCTTCGGTAGGTGACTGAATGCAAGGAGAGCGCCGAGGCCCAGGCACGGTACGGACACGTCCAAGCCGAGGGTGCACTCGCGTTGCCATGCATCGCCGCCGCCTCCGCAGCGATGCAGGGGCCAACGGCGGCGAAGAGGGCATTGAGTTTGTCCGCCCGGATGCCCATGTTGTAATCGGGCATGTCGCGTCCTCTCAATGGCTGCAGTCCGAACTGCATGAGGCGGCTCCAGAAGCATCGCCGCCCTGTTGGTGGACCGCTGCACGGGAAGGAGCGTCGCGCGAGTGTGACAGTCCCTTCACTCTGTCACGGCACCACTGGTACACGCGGCGCGCCTCTGTGGTACGGCAGCGCTCCCAGGTCTCGCGGACGCGCTCGCGCTTCCCACACAGCCGCGGAGACTTCGGTATCTCTACGCAGGCATGGACATGACGTCACGTCACGCCGACATGACGTCACGATGATGGTCGGACAGTGAGCCTCACTGCGGCATTCCACATGTCCATAAATGCAGTCACCATGTCATCGGCGGTGCCTGGTGGTGTAGAGTGGCCCTCAATCGGTGAGCAGCAGACTCAGGTTGTACGCGTCCTAGTCGACGCGTCTCCACGGTCGCACGGCGGTGGTAACTGACCGCTGGCGCTCTCTGGGGACGGGAGCGCGGAGCAGCACCGGTTGGTGGTCCGCCACAGGCCCGAGGAGAACCTCGGCTGAGTCCCGGAGACCGGTCGCGTTGGTGACGATCAAGTCCGGTAGTGTTAGTGTCGGGTGAAGGTGGGCGGGCTTGACGACAAACTGTTCGATGCTCACGCTTCTCAGGATGCGTTGTGGTACATCACGTATCACAAGTATTCGCATTAGAAGCCATATCGGGGGAAGTTGAGTCGTTAGCAGCAATTTCGTTAGAAGTTCTGCTGTGGGACCGGTCTTAGCCAGTCGCGCAGCCAGAACCTAGCAAAGGGGAGGGGGGGGGGGGGGGACACAGGTTTGACAAAGGGCCTGCTGATAGTGCAAAGGCCCCAAAAGTTACCAGATATGGCCTATTTGTTAATGACGGGATGCTTTTAGTTGATGTAGTCTGGGATTATAATTCACCAGTGCTACGTTTAGATTGATGTTAGAAACAGATTGCATTTACAGTACCACTAAGTGGTGCTGGTTAGAATCTGGTGGTGGATAAGTTTCATCTGTCCACAGGATATTCTCAACGTTGTGAAAAAGATGCGCCCAATCTTGTCTTTAAACGGTGCGCATTAATGTTGAAAGACATTCGGAAACATCATTTCACGACGGGTCGTTCTCCGCGCGGGGCGCGACGTGCTACTTGCAATGGGACAAAACAGCCGTTCAGTCTTACGGAAACTGCAACCCAGAACGCTGCTGTCCTTGCCTCCGGAGATTTCGGGCGCGCAGGCTCAAACCTTTTGATATAATACGTTTCACTTATCGATTTTGCAAAATAATGAACGTTCTCAGGTAAGCATGGGATGACCATGTTCGTTTCTAACTCATCTCGACCTAGCCCAGTCAGAAGCCCGAAGGGCCATTCCATTCCACCGCGGGGTGTCATCCGGCTGTCATTCTGGCGACACTGGGCGGATCACCCTGGTTCATCCGGAGGCCCTTAGAGGGATACATCATGTCACATGGTCCCTTCCTGACACGGAAGGCCTTCTGACTCGCGCACTTGGTCCCAGATCGACGCAGCGACCCCCTTAACGCAACAATATTCTTGTCGCCGCAGGTGGTCCCATAATTGGCGTATAGACTCCTGTTCGACTTGGCCATGCTGGAAATGGGCTGCAGAGCCCGCCGTTCGCCATTGGTGGCTCTGATTGGCTCAGGACTCTTATTGCCTCAATGAGAAGACTTTTATTAAGTATAATATTTGCTTTCATTGTCAGAGGGGCCCCCGACCAACGCAAAATGTCCTGTTCTCATTCGAGGTCCCGTCCCCGTCCCACGTTAAGCAAATGTTCCGCTAACCACTCGGGATCCCTTGCTGACATAGAACACGCTATTAAGCACTGGGCCCCAGACCGGTGGCAGGAGTGCCGCATCGTTGCAGAGTCCCCACGATTAATGCAAGTCGCCTGCTGGCCCGGCCGCTTGTCCCTGCTTGGGAAACGGGCCCCAAGAGCTCAGAACCGACACGGAGCCGAATGCTCGGTGTTGGTGATTATTGACCGAAATAGAGGAAACTCTGTCTCAGAGATTGCCAATCGGTACAATAGACCCTCTTTACTGCATTTGAGAAAATCGCGGCCGCAGCTACGGCCAGGGTACTAAATGTGACCCACAGGCAGCCTTCGGATTCCTTCAGCCTTACAATATTTGGTCCTGATGGGTCCACTTCCCCTCTTCGGACCTCCTCAAACACAGCCTGTGACCGACTTCGGGGGTCACTACCCCCACACGTGACCTTCTGTTAGGCATTGTGGCTCCTGACCGATACAGAGGTCCCAACCATTGTTTCAGGGACCCAGACTGATGCAAGTCGTGGCCCGGGCCTTGCTCCCGCTTGGGAAATGAGTCCCCAGGGCTCAGACTTACATGGAGCCAATTGTTCGTTGCTTGGAGGTCTCTGGCCGACCGAGAAACCTGCACTGGCTTAGGAGTCCTCAAACGACACAAGCTGACCTCTGCTGATATTTTAGATCATGGCCTATCGGCCGCGATTCTTCACGTGCACCTACGGCCAGTCCTTCGGGCCCTTATGTCCTCCAACCGAGCCCTTGATCGTCGGTTCTGCTGTGCCGCCCGGGCCCCTCTTCATGCCTCATCGAACACTGCCCTTGGTCGGCTTGCGAGCCCTGCAACCACAGGACCCTTCTTTAGGCATTGCTGGGGCCCCTGACAGATACAGAGGCTCCGACCAGTGGAAATCGCTGGCCCCGGCTTTGTAGCTGATTAGGAAGTTGGCTCTCAGGCTCATGTAGACACGGAGCTGACTGTGCGGTGCTGGTTGTGTCTGGCCGATGTATGGGGCCCATGTCCACTCAGGATTTCCCCGATCGCGGCGCAAAAAGGCCCTCTGACTGTCATTGAGGGTCCATCCCTGCAGGCTGGAGCCCCTGAATAAGGCACGTCCAGCACTTCGTGCCCATAAGCCTTTCAATCGGGCCCTTTGATCATCGGTCCCTATGGGGCCCTCTATGCGCTTTGGGCCCCTCGAACACTGCCCCCTGCCAGACTTGAGCCCCTCGCCAACACAGGGCCCTCTCTTAGCCACTACGGGGCCCCTGTCAGGCATTGGTGCCCCGAACAATTTAAATTGTTGGCTCCTGCTCTGTCCTCTGCTTGGGGGTATAGGCCTCTCAGGCCCATGCCGACACGGAGCCGTCTGTGAGCCATTGGTGGTGTCTGACCAACAGCTAGGCTCTTATCGACTAAGGGGCACCTGATCGGCACGGAAGGGCTCCCTGAATGATACTGAAGTGCTCGGTCCGTGGGCCGGGTCCCTGAATGCGACCTCCAGTCGGTCTTTCCGGCCCTTAATCGTAGGTCTAGGGGGGCATTCGGAACCTAACGAGGGGGGGACACCTCCCCTGTGCCCTCCCCCCTTCCCAGGGATGCGCATGCCTGATCTGAACGACGTGCTGGCATGGGATAGAAGAAATGCCACGACGGAAATAATCACGGAGGAATTGCACTGTCATCCTACGTTTACCTGCCGATGTTGCTCGTGCTGTTCCCTCGTACAGAACACGTATGTACGTTTGGGTCGCATGCAGATGATAACGTTCATCTTTTCGGTCGCCCCGGAGTGCCCCCAGCGTTTAGCCAGATCGGCCGGTCACCCCGGAGTGCCCACAGCGTTTAGCCAGATCGGCCGGTCGCCCCGGAATGCCTACAGCGTTTAGCCAGATCGGCCGGTCGCCCCGGAGTACCCACAGCGCTTAGCCAGTACCTCTAGTGTTTACTGAGCTCGGCTTTCCTCGACAGATGAGCAGTATGAATTCGAGGTGAGGTTTCGGCAAGCAGAAGACTACCCTCTGGATCTGTACTACCTCATGGACCTTACTTACTCCCAGTGGGACGACAAAGACAAGCTGGAGACCCTGGGTGAGGAATACGCGATGGCAATACTTGTATGCACAACTTCTGGTCAACGGCGCGGTTTAGCCCGCGCACTGGCAGGGTCAGGCGAAATTACTCGCCCTGGAAGGGGATCACGTCCTTCCCTACTGTCTCTGGGAGCATAAGATTAAGAGTTACTAAGCTCACGGGGGGTGTATACTAAAAGAAACTATGCTGTGTAAGAAAATCGTGACCATGGTCAATATATTCAAGGTCAAGGAGAAAGTGGGCAGGACTTTTTCAAGTATGTGTGGGTATAAGGAGGAGGAGGAGGGTGGGGAGCTAAAGTATTTCTTGCGGTATCTATCGGCTTCTATGTATAGTCACAGTATCGTGACAATAAAGAGCTTAACTATGCCTTCATCACCCCCCTTCCCACTCCCTTTCAGGCAAGGACATGGCCATCACGCTACGTAGCCTCACCAAAAACTTCCGCGTCGGGTTCGGCAGCTTCGTGGACAAGCCGGTGATGCCGTACGTGTCCCAGGTGCCGCAGGACCTGCAGAACCCCTGCGCCATCTACGGCCGCGAATGTGTGGCGGCGTACGGCTTCAGGAATCACCTCAACCTCACCAATGACGTTGTATCGCTTCACGGCGCAGGGTCAGTCGTCGAGAGCACTGCCCCGAGCGATTGCACCGCTGACGCACTCAGTTTCACAGGCAAGGTCAGAGCATCACAAGCTGTACGCTAATAGCCTCAGCTCATGCTCGCAGAAGTGAGTTTAAAAGCTATGTGCCAGTAGCCTCAGTTCATGTTCTCAGCCAGAGAGTTTATAAGCTGCACGCTACTAGCCTCAGTTCGTGTTCGCAGCAGTGAGTGTACAAGCCGCACGCTTCTAGCCTCAGTTCATGTTCACAGCAGTGAGTGTACAAGCTGCACGCTAATAGCCTCAGTTCATGTTCACAGCCAATGAGTTTACAAGCTGCACGCTACTAGCCTCAGTTCATGTTCACAACAGTGAGTGTACAAGCTGCACGCTGCTAGCCTGCTAGCCTCAGTTCATGTTCACAGCAGCGTGTGTACAAGCTACGCGCTAATAGCCTCAGCTCATATTCACAGCAGTGGGTGTATAAGCTACTACTAGCCTTACTTCATGTGTACGGCAGTGAGTGTACAAGCTGCACGCTGCTAGCATCAGTTGATGTTCACAGCAGCGAGTTTACAAGCTACGCGATAATAGCCTCAGCTCATATTTAGTCAGTGAGTGTACCGCGTAGCCCACGAATGCGGGAACATCATCGGTAATAGCTTCGTGACATGGTCCCGTCCTTCACACCGCCGTGTTACCAACACAGCAGCGGCAGTGTGTCTGCTGGGCGTTAAGGTCATTCCATCGTCACGGATGGTGACATGGTTTCTTCGCACATCTGGCACACAAGTGGTCCACGGTTATGCTTGTTATTCTCCCGAACCGAGCAGAAAAACGTAAATAAATTGTGGCTTGTGGTAGGGTACCTTTTGGCACCTTTCAAGGTATAAGCTTTGCCAGTGAGTATTTCATGCAATCGGCACATGGAAAGTCGTTCCGTTGTGCGACGGTTCGAAACAGGATTTCCATATAAAGGCCATCGACATGCATACATCGACTCCAGGCCGTTTCCCGGTGGAATCCTTTGACCTTCTGATAACAATTATTTATGGATTCCGTGGTCTGTCAAACCCCTGAGATCCACTCTCAGCCGGGCAAAAATTGAAATGGGCTGTGTAAATGCTTGAGCGAAGTACAGAGTATGGAGAGAGAGAGAGACTCCCAGTTGTATTTGACGTCGGTTGTGAAGTCAAACAAAGAGTCTAGTTTAACAAGTCAGAGGTGGTCTGTCGGTCAGGCTGCAGGAACACAATCATCCGGGGTGAGACTCTGATGTCTGGCGTGGCAGGGCATGCTTGGTCAGACGGCTATCGCGTACCAGCATGTGATGGAGTAAGCATCATCGACTGAGAGCATCACTGGAAAATGTCGGGAAGACCAAGGAGACAGCACGCATGACATTGACTAATAACGCCATTAGTAAGCCAAGTATAGACCTCAGCTCAAGATAATTCCCAGTTCTGCGGATAAATCACCAAATATCCAGATAAATGGCATCAAGTCCTAACACTGAAAGATTGGCATTTTGGCCGGCTGAGTTTATAGAGCACTGGCCTCGCAATTAAAGAAGACGATAGTTTCCAGAAATTTCCAAGCAGAGAATTCGGGTTGTGATGCATACATGGCCAAGTTCCTCCCAGTCCTTCTCAGGACTCCATAACAGCTGACGGCGACCGGAGAGTTAACCGGCCGAGGCGCTGTGTGTAACTAACACGCCAGACGATACGGTAGTCCGAACAATGACTCCATCCACGCCTCTTTTCAGCCCTTCCGTAAAATTACTTTATCCTGGCTGCCTCCCTGTCGGTAGGTGTGCAGTACTTGTAGAAACTACTGACCTTGACATGGCTCACGATAAACGAACATTGACTAAAATGAACATCTAGTCCGTCTTGCTGCACACGACACCAATGTCAAAAATAATGGCGCGGCCCTTGTACAACGCAGTCGACCAATCCACATCGTTATCGGACCTACCATTATCGTGTAATTTGTGTGGACGTAAGGCATAAGCCGAAGAAGCAACGGTTTGTAAATCTGAGTTCGATAAACGTGTTTTGGCTATTGAATGTCAGGGAAATTGCTCGAAAACGATTATTTCCTGGTCAAAGTGTTTGGTAATACTTAACCCCACCCTCCCCCCAAACAAATTTAAAAAGTTTTTCAGCATACAAAGCTTTCGTGAAAACGGCTACCACCCCAGATGAACATTGCTGGTGCGGTGACTCGACCTCCAATTTCCTTGAGTCAGATCACTGCGACGAACGTGCAGCAGCGTCGAGTACAGGTCTGGTGTCGGCCGGCATGGGAACCTCGTGCCGGCGCAGGCACGTGGACGCCTGAGTCGGAAACACGGGTAGCCTGCAGCCCCGCAAGTGCTCTCGGCGGTCACGTTTGAGTGGATTCACGCACGCTGCCGCTCACGCTAGTCTATTCCTAGCCGGTCGATGACTTCCGAGTCCTCCACGGTGGTGATCGTGCGTTATTAAGAGATGGAAATGTAATTGTGCCCCGAAATTGACAACTATGGTAGCCGGTCTGTTGCGAATGAGCACGTTTCGATGCTCTTCACTGCCATACCAGCCAACCGTGTTTTTAATTAGTCAGCTTCCTCCATCATTCATCGGCAAAACAGCAGGTTGGGTGGCCCATTTGGTCCATTTTCAGTTTCATCATTGGGACTTAGGATGTTTTGCCATTCTGTCGTCTTCTGTTTAGATCCTCATCCCTGGCAAGGTACATGTAAGCATGTTATCATTTTAGTCATCTTCAGTTCCAATACATGTCTTTATCGTATGTTTGCCATTTGGTGAGTTACTGTCATCATTTCCATGCCACTTCAATTCATGTTTTATTCTTTGACAATTCAGCTATTTTTTTAAACGATGCTTTTTGTCCTTGTCGATGCCTATGCCGTCGAGTTTAACTTTCGACAGGACTTAATTCAGTGTTGCTTCTTGATCAGTGATCATACACTTTTGGTCTTCCAATGATAATAACGAATTTTGCACGACTCACAGATGTACTTCAGTGCAATTTGTTGCCTGATCTTTTGGCCTCAAAATGGCAAAACAGGGGAAAAAGATGGTTGAGTCTGCGAATTATCTGCGTAGGACACACCCACACACCACACCCATACACCACCACACACACACACACACACACACACACACACACACACACACACACACACACACACACACACACACACACACACACACACACACACACACACACACACACACACACCACACCACACACACACACACACACACACACAAACCACACAACACACACACACACACACCACACACACACACACACACACCACACACAACACAACCCACACACCACACACACACACACACACCACACACACAATGTACATATAAACATATGTATCTGCGTGATGGTTTGTTAAGCATCATCAATATCCGGGTGACTTGAAATATTTGAATACCTGTATCGATGTCAGTTGCTTTATCGTTGTTTAGCCAGTATATCCCGTGTACAGTGACTGGCCCTCAGGCTATTTCCAACAGAAAATATGACTCAGGACTGACTTCCAAACTACATGCTAATCGAGACTAGCTCAATCCAGCAAAAATAATTACCACTTCCTGGCCGTGAATTGTGCGCTGCGTCCGTGGTTCAATCCTAGCCTTGGGTTTCCCTCAAACTGTCATCGCACAACGGCTGGCTTGAAGTTTGTTCGTGACCGGACCTGGCACTGGTCCACAGGTGAGCGCCGCCAGGGTGTCAGCCAACGTGGACGACCCGGAGGGCGGCCTGGATGCGCTCGTCCCAGGCCGGTCAGCTGCTCCGACATCCGTAGGCTGGAACAAGAGTGCGCGCAAGCTGCTGATCTACTCCAGCAACGGACTGTGTCCATCTGGCTGGGCAGGCATTGGTATGTCGTCTATTCTACTCCAGCACGGACTGTTCCATCGGGCTGGGCAGGGTCATGGTATGTCGTTTTTCTACTCCAGCAACGGACTGTTCCATCTGGGGACTGGGACAGGGCCATGGTATGTCGTCTTCTACTTCTAGCTCCAGCAACGGACTGTTTCCATCGGGCTGGGCAGGGTATGGTATGTCGTCTATACACCAGCAACGGACTGTTCCATCTGGCTGGGCAGGGCATGGTATGTCGTTCTTTCTACTCCAGCAACGGACTGTTCCATCGGGCCGGGCAGGGCATGGTTATGTCGTCTTTCTACCTCCAGCAACGGACTGTTCCATCGGACTGGGCAGGGCATATGGCCTTTGTATTCCAGCGACGGACTGTTCAGTCTGGCAGGACAGAGCATGGTGTGAAGTCTTTCTTTGAAACAACTGCGCGAGCCCACCGGATGGAAACACTTCAGCGCTCCTTGACAATGACAGCGAAGTGCCACGTGACCACGACGGTCACTTGAACGGTCGGAGGCGGCGCGGGGGTCGGCCGAGGGCGCGTATACACCTGCGCAATGTGGTCTGTGTCGTGCGCCAAAGTTTCATCTTGAATCATTGGGAAAATGCGGAAATCTTATCATTCACTTTTATCTTGTACTCATGTCATCCATTCTTATCATCAGAAGTCATAACATTCCATGCTATGATGCGAATCGTATCGTGCGCCACCGTGTCGCGTCGAGGCCGCAGCTCCCAGAGACAATCCGCGACGTCATCGCTGGCGTTCCGAGGTGACCGCGCCCGCTCGGAGCTCGGAGCGCGTTCCCGCCGGCCGGAAGGCAGGCGCCCAGCTCTGCGAGGGTATCGTCGACCGCGCTGTCCAACAGTCAGCGTGTGCCGGGGACGCAGTCATCCAGGCTCGGCAGACGGCCTCGGACCGGAAATCCAGTCAAGGCGACGTACACGGCGCAGATCACGCGCTACTGGAAGGATGAACTCGCGGCAGCCGGAGTCAACGCGGTAGTTGATGCCCACGGTGTCAAGCCCCCCCCCCCCCCCCCCCCCCGTCACCAGTCTGATAAGACGCTGACGGCTGCATGGGGCAACATTGAGCTCAGGCCCAACGGCGTCAAACGCGCGACACTTCTGCGCGGCCGGTCGAAGCTCACTCAACAGTGAGCGCGAAAAAGGTACACATCACCCTTCGCACGAGATGTGTTGTGAACGAGTCAACTGCCACAAGGAAGGTTGTACAGGTTTTTTGTTTGGGAATCAGTGTGGCCACTCAAATTAAATGTCCATCAGGTGAAACTTAATAAAACGGCAGCAATATTTGCCATGAATCGCCAGAATAGGTTCTGATATTTGTGAGAATGTGGTATTACAACTATCATGTCATGTTTTAAGGTTCAGACAATTATATCAGGCATCATGATGATTTCCTATGTCTGGCGAGGCGGAGCTAAACTGTTGGGCTCCTCGGGAAGGGGATGGGGCATCTCAACGCGGCCTACCCAGGCCAGTCCGTAGAGCGCCTCTGTCGCGCGCTAATTTGCTGCAACCACCGCATTCAGTACTTACTTTCCAGGCCACTGGCTTCGACATATAATGCCCTTATTGCCCAAACATCTGTGGCCCAGCATGTGCCCCGAGAAACTCTGTGGTCATGCGGCGAAGCCTGAATGCATTATTGAGGAGGGACACCCCTGGTCCCCAAACGAGCAGCCAGCCGCCTCCCCACTGCCACACAATAACAGAACATCAATGCTAAAAGTAGTCTAGGGGGAACATTAGAAGAGGCCACAGGAGAGGAGAACAATTCCTTCCAAATGTTGGTTTCGGTCTCCCAATTGTTGCTTTGCTTATGAAGTTTTACTTCTGTGGTCCGAAGTCGCTCCTTTCATGCACTTCAAACACATGTCGAAGTTGGAGCTCGTTTCCATAAAGCTCGCGAATCAAGCCAGCAAACGGCAGCTTCGGAGACGAGCCCCAACAAGCGGCACACTCAGCCGCCGGCCCCGCTGTTTACCACTGCGCCATCGCAGCCCAGTGCCTTTGTTTCTCGGCCCCACTGCGGGCTGGTGGAGTACAGCTTGTTGAGCAGGTCCAAGACTCGGCCTGACTGAGAGGTGAAGCGCGTCACATACCTGCCGCTTGGTTCGGAGATCTGAACTGCATGATCTTTGATCTTTGTGTCAGGAGTGTCGGCGGTGCATGTTCTCCCGCCTCTCCCATCGAAGTGTAGGCTTGTGATGCCGGACTCAAGCATGTCTTCAACCTGCTCTTACGCTGCATCTGTTCTCATACGGTGTCGGCGCGCCAGAAACCATTTCAGGGTCGATGTTTTTACTTTTCAGTCGCGTGTGCCTCGGTCAGTGTTAGCTTGGATCTCGTTAACCATTAACGCAGCAGTCCGGTATGACCACATAACGTTCGTGAGCTTTCATGCCTGGGAGCCAGTGAGAGTCTAGCACGGCATGGAGGGATATTCTAGGGACTCGCGTTCAGGTTCACCGGTGCAGTTTGCTGTGTCGTTTGTTCACCACCAATGATCTTCCGCCTCCTCGTGTGCCACGGACATGTATATGTTTCTGGTGGTTCAAGATTGATGGCACAAGCTGGCAGTGTGCACAAAGTTGGCTTCATTTCATACTTCACCCACATTTGTATCGGGAGGAAGATAACAGCACAAGACAGGCAAGAAGAAGCGAAAATTCCTACTGCGTTTTAATAGACGCTGACACCTGATGATAAAATAAGCAGTGGTACGCCTATAATCTTCAAGGACCGGTCCTTAATGCGCAAAGACCCTAAGAAGGGCTTAATACATCGTGTTCTCTCACTCATCGAGCCCTAACCGGTTCCCTGCTTTGTCTGCGCCGATTACAACAGAGGACCGGCTCCTGAGCCCTGACGTCATTGGGCCTGACCCGAACACACAAGCGCACCTGCTAAATGAAGCCAAAGCTATCGGAAGAGTGACGCAACCACAAAAATGTTATGACCAATCATTTAATTGTATGTGGCACGGGCAAACACCGCTAATCTAGCGTCCATATCAGCAACATGTCGCTCGAAATTGCGTTTTTGCGCAGCTTGCAACTCGAAATCAGGTCAAACTCTGTCTAACAGGGGAGGGTGCTACATCGTGTGTTTATTGATGTAGTTAAAAAGTTGTGTGGGGTATTGTGGCAGTCATCATGCTAAGCGGCATGTATTTGGCCAACGGTAGATAAAACTAGTCCCAGGGTAAAATGGCGAGTTAGGGAAATGCTCTGCGTCGTAATGGCATAATGAAATACAAGGTAAATAATGACTCAAATATAATTGCATGGTGTCGGGCCCAGTGCCTGCCCAAACCACACTCGGGTCGGTAGGGCTGGTTACCTTATTAAGTTATTTTTGTGAGACTGCATCTTCAAGCGGGTAAGCGCCTTAGAATGGCGCTTTTGAAGAAACATTGTCATCCATAAATTACATTCTCTTAAATCAATATCGAAGGAATACGCTATCTCACTGCCAGCTGGTCACGTGCTCGATCCTTTTCCGTATAATATGAGGCACACGTCGCGCTTGGGCTGGGTGCCACGAATCTATCTGTATTACTAAATGAGCGGCGTGCTCGTGTCCGCCACTTCATTGGGATCGCCCGCAGGCTAGACGGTAAGGGATTTTTCAATGAAGTTGGCACACGACCGAGGTCCGCTGGCAGCGCGTGACAGAGTCGTGTCAAAATTCTGCATTTCGCAAAGATGAGTGCATGCTGAGCGAAAAACGAGCGCAAAAATCCCCATGGGTTTAACACGGGTGACGCCAGTTGAGCGATCCCGACCGACGACCCGACACGCTTCGCTTCCCGGAGCCGTATCTCAATAAGCAAGGGTCGCAGCGACATTAAACTTGCACAGTGCGATAGAGCATTGATTAGGCCATCGCAATCTGGTGCGTTTTTCCTCCACGTGACACGTGGCACGTGCACACGTGTTGACAAGATGAAATCGGCCGTTTTCGACGGGTTTTTACGTTTACCATTATATCTCAGCACGCAAAGCACCTAGAGGCCTGAAAGGTGTTTCCCAACATTCACAATTGAAGTGGCTTCACTTCCAGTTCCATCGCGAGTTTGTGCGACGTACCGTTGTGCAAATTGCAAGTCGCAGTACAATGTGCAGCGGGCCGAGTTTTAAAAACCGGCGCCGAATAAAAGCCGCTACCGTCAAACTTATGCGTATTTGGCATTGAAAACTACACCAACGTATCGGCCGATTCGTCCTGTCCCTAATGCACTCCTATGTTGACCGCATTTTAGAAATGTCGCTATTGAGCGTAGACTAAGGGGTTGCATGACGGCTTTTTCGCCGCGACGGCGGCCAGTTCCTGCCCCGACTCACGGCGTACACCCTAGGCGTTAAGGGCTAAAATGACCGTTCGCGCAGCGGTCTGCCGGCCTTGTTCATATTCCCGGCCTTCATATTAGAGAACGAGCACTGGTGTGCCTTCAGCCTGTACAAGTCCAGGCAGGCGGACGGGCTCTCCCTACGCGCGGTTTCTGCCCACGCATTGTGGTCGGCGGCGCGCTGTGCGTGATGGCCCCCGGGTCCGCCGTGCACTCACAGGCGTGGATTTTGTTTCCCAATGCCACAATTGACGCGGGTGCACGTTCAGTCGCATCGCTAGTTAGTGCAACGCACCGTTACGCTCCGCATTGCAGGACAAATTGCCTGATGCCGGCGCCTAATATACCAGCCGCTACCGTCAAAGCTATGCGTGATCACATCTCGGCACCCAGGGCACGGAGCCACTGGGGAGTGGTATGCATTGATAAGAAGTCGAACAGACAATGACCCTGCT